CTCCCATGACCACAGCCTGTCTGCTAACATTTGATCAAGGGACTTCACCCACTTATTTATTTAGTTTCAAGTACTTTTTTAATTAAATAAAAATGTCACTTTTCTCCTTCTGTTTACTCTCTAAAACCATTCACATATGCGCCACTCAAATTCACTGACATTTTTTCTTAACATTTTTGTACACAAAATATGTATGTGTGTGTTTGCATACATATATAAATGCATTTTTGGTTTAAGTGTAATAAGGTACCAGTTCTGACCACCTTGTGTTGGATAAGCAACAATGATGGTCATACTTGGGAAATGCTAGTTCTTCCTCTTCCAGGAGACTCTAGGAGCCTGTAGATCTTTGTCTAGGGCCAGTACCTGTGAAAGTTTCCACTTCCACATTAGCATGTCTGTTCGTAGCAAGTCTGTTCAGGTTGCCGTTGATCCAGACTTGCTTTTGCCACCATTTCTAGGAAAGACTATTTCATTGCCAACTTCCCTGAATTCTGTTTTTTTTCCCCAATCTTTCTACTTTGTCTTCCTAGATGTTCCCTGAGCTAAACCTGCAGGAACTGTGATGTAGACTTATTCATTGTCGTTAGGCTCCCCCACAATCTGTAGATCTCTGTGTTGTGTGCAGTTGTGCTGTCTGTGATGGCCTACATCTGTTGTAAAGAGGAGATTCTATGAGGAGGGTTGGTAGCCTACTTTATCTCTAGGTGTAAGGCCCAGAATATACTTTGGAAGTGTGCTGGTCTAGCAAAGTGATGATAATAAATTGTTTTCTAAGGTTCATGTCCTCACTGGTCCCTAGAAGTTGGCTATGTTTCTAGAACTATTAATGATTTTCCTACTGTTGAGGGAATTGGTTTTTACATCCAATAATACAGCTTTCGGTACCTCCAAGGGAAAGTGCTTCTACTGCAGCTTTATAGCTAGCTTGCCATGCTCCCCTTTGTTGTGGTTCCTAAGTGTTGCAGCCTGATAGGACTATACAGATTCTGTCCCTCCTTGAGCAGCTTGTAGATGATTTTCTAGTACCATGGAAGCTAGGACTATAGCAGGGAGGCTTTCAGTTCTGATCCATTCAAATAATCCATATCCTGTGTTGTAAGTGTGGCATTTCCAGTACCTACAACCTCTGAGAAGCAACCGTGGCTCCATCTCTAGTCTATTTTGTTTTGAGAATCACTGGCCGAGCAGTGGTGGCACACGCCTTTAATCACAGCACTTCGGAGGCAGAGGCAGGTGGATTTCTGGTCTACAGAGTGAGTTTCAGGACAGCCAGGGCTATACAGAGAAACCCTGCCTCGAATAACCAAAAAGAAAAGAAAAAAAAGAGAATCACTGGACTACCCTGAGCACCTCTCAGAATGAGGCTTCTTGTGCTTGCTCCCAGGGGTTGTTATTTTTCATTTCTTGTGGGAGAACTGTCAGTTAAAGTGACACAGCCTTTTGTTCCAATTCAGTTTCAGAAATCACAGATTCATGGTGTCAGCCCTTGGCCTTGCTCACCTTGGTAGAAGCTGTCACATGAAGAAGCTCTGATGATGAGGTCACAGGAGACTGATTGCCAAATGCACTGTGAATGTGAATCTAAGGCCAAGGAAAATGTTTTATTCCAGTAACCTTTCTTCTCTGTCTTACTTACTGAATGAAAATATACCTTCCAATTTCACTCATATGGAAATGCTTGAACCTTGTTTTGTGTTGTGTTAAATGTGGTACAAGTGAGCCTTGTCCCATCTTCCTTTTTTTTCTTTTTTAAATTTTATTTAATTTTTTTTCACTCCAGATTTTATTCCCTTCCTGGTCTACCCTCTGACTGTTCCACATCTCACACCTCCTTCCCCTCCCCATTACCTAGGAGATGCCCCTACTCCCACCCCCTTTCCCCACCAGATCTCTTGATTCTTTGAGGCTTCCAGTCTCTTGATGGTTAGGTATGTCTTCTCTGACTGAACCTAGATCTGGAAATCCTCCATTGTATAGGTGTTGGAGGCCTTACACCAGCTGGTATACACTGCCTGGTTGGTGGTTCAGTGTCTGAGAGATCTTAGGCATTCAGATTTACAGAGACTGCTGGTCCTCCTACAGGGTTGCCCTCCTCCACAGCTTCCTCCAGCCTTTCCTCACTTCAACAACATGGGTCACCAGCTTCTGTCCATTGGTTGGGCATAAATATCTGCATCTGACTCTTTCAACTTCTTGTTGGGTCTTTCAGAGGCCAGTCATGTTAAGTTTGTTTTTGTGAGCACTTGGGGCCTCCCCTGAGCCAGATCCCACTTTGGGCCTGTCACTGTCCCTCTTTATTCTGAGGCTGCTCTCTATCCTTGTCCCTGCAGTTCTTTCAGACAGGAACAGTAATGGGTCAGAGTTTTGACTGTGGGATGGCAACCCTATTCCTCAACTGATGCCATGTCTTTCTGCTTAAGGTGGGCTCTACAAGTTCCCTCTCCCCACACTAGGGTATTTCATCAAAGGTCCTTCCCTTTGATTCTCTTACCTCCCTGATCTCTGGTACATTCTGGAGAGTCCCCTTACCTACTATCTACTGAGGTTTCCTGTTTCAATTCTTTCTGCTGGCTCTAAAGTTTTCAGTCCTTTTGGCCCACCTAATACCTGATCACATTCCCCTCTTCCTCTACCTCTCCTCTTTCCAACCTAGGACCCTTCCTCCCTCTTTCTGTGATTGCTTTCTTCTCCCTTCCATTTTGAGTTGTCCTTACTTAGACCCTTCAGCTTATTGACCTTTTTCAATTCAGTGTACTGTATCCTGGGTATTCTGCACTTTTTTTTTTTTGCCTCATATCCACTTATTAGTGAGTACATACCAGGCATATTCTTTTGGATCTAAGTTACTTCACTCAGGATGATATTTTCTAGTTCCATACATTTGCCTGCAAAACTCAGGATGTCCTCGTTCTTAATAGCTGAGCAGTATTCCATTGTGTAAATGTCCCATATTTTCTGTATTCATCTTCTCTTGTGGAACATCTAGGTTGTTTCCAGCTTTTTGTGTTCTGGCTATCACAAAAAAGGCCACTACAAAAATAGTGGAACCCCTGCCTCTGTGGCATTTTGGGGCATCTTTTGTGTCTATGCCCAAGAGTGGTATAGCTGGATCTTCAGGTAGATCTATTTCCAGTTTTCTGAGGAATCTCCAGACTGATTTCCAGAGCGGTTGTACCAGTTTGCAATCCCACCAGTAATGGAGGAGTGTTCCTCTTTCTCCACATCCCAGTCAACCTATGTTGTCACCTGAGGTTTTGATCTTCGCCATTCTGATTGGTATAGGGTAGAATCTCAGGGTCATTTTGATTTGCATTTTCCTGACCAACAAGGACTTTGAACATTTCTTTAAGTGCTTCTTGGCATTTGAGATTTCTCTATTTTAAATTCTCTGTTTAGTTGTATACCCCATTTTTTGATTGGGTTGTTAGGTTTTGTGGTGGTTAATTTTTTGAGTTCTTTATATATTTTGGATATTAGCCTGCTTTTGGAAGTATGATTAGTGACTTTTTTTCACAGTTTATAGGTTTTCAGATTCCTACCCACATATTTTAATGAAGTTTCTTTAAAAAGTGAATTTGACCCCACAACTTGTTTTGATCCTGACATACAGGTGCCAGATTCCACAGCTCTTCCCACAAAGGACAACTGCACATGACTGCAATGGACCTACCAGTGTTCACTCACGGATGCTTTTCATTCTCAGCCCAAAGTCAGACATTGGGAAATTGTAGTGTCAAGTCTCAGCCCCTGCTCAGCTTGATAGAAATTGTTCCCAAGAGCACCATGCCTTTGTGGTGCCTAGAACTCTGAGTACTCAGTTATGACACAAAGGTCCCACTTCCTGCTATAAACACAGGTATCCAACTTCCTGAAAAAACACTAGTCATCTTCAATTAATCGTTTCCCCTGTGTTATAGTCATTGGGTTAACATTTATTTCAATTTCTTTG